GAAGGTTGTTAAAGCCTTTTGCCAGCTCCCTCACCCACAGCTTCTGTCCAGGGTGCAGCCGCCAGGCCAGGCCCGGGACCTGGTGCTCTCTACCCTGGCTGCCACCCAGCTCACCCCGGCCCCATCTTGCCTGGTCTGCAGCCCCCGGCCTGTCTCCTCTCCTCGGCTCCAGGGCACGGCGTGCTATGGCCTACCCGGCCGGGCTGGGCCGCGCTGTGCTTAGTCTGGGCAGGAGGAAGCAGCTGCTGGCCTCCAGGCGCGGGGGAGGAGGGGAAGTGGGTTTGGAGAACCAGTAGGCAAATTCAAGATCCTCCTCGCTTCCCCCTTTAATTTCCCTCCTACCGGGAAACCCCAGAGCCCGCACCTTGGGGTTCCAACTCCAGCAACTCTGGACTGGGGGGGGCAGTCCCTAAAGAATACCTGTAGTACCCCACCTAGTCAGCAGAATGCAACGTTTTGGAAGATGGCGTCTGTCACAGCCCACGGTGAGGAACTCAGTCATCCACCAGCGCTAGCCAAGCTCCAGAGGAAGACACAGCACAGAGCCAAGTACCCGCGTGTGGTGGTTGGAAGAAACGTTGTAAAAGGTGTGAGAATCACAAGGAAGATTGGTCTCATTGAAAGGACATTAGACACAGGGATGTCAACGCACAAACAAGGTGCCGATCACATGGTAATTCCTCATCACCCTGCGCTTAGAGTGCTCCCTAAATCACACATGTTGGGAGCTGGGAAGGTGGCTCAGTGGTAGAGCGCTTGCCTTGCATGCATGAGGCCCTGGGTTCGATTCCTCAACCACATAAGCAAAAAGAAAAAAAAGCCAGAAGTGGCGCTGTGGCTCATGTGGTAGAGCGCTGGCCTTGAGCACAGAGATCAGGGACAGTGCCCAGGCCCTGAGTTCAAGCCCCAGGACTGGCCAAAAAAAAAAAAAATCATACATGTTTACCTTTCTCAGGATGGTAGTGAGCTGTTAGCAATCGCCAGCACAGACAAGATGGCAGAGCAGCGCTACTTCGACTTCTAAACTTGTTTTTCCATCCGATGGAGGAACAAGCACGGAAAAATAGGATCGGCTGCCCTGTACTTTCCCTGCAGAATTCAGTCTTGAAAGAGATCAAAGTACCACCTTTGCGGTTAAGTTAGAAGCACGTTGTTGTTTTTGCTTTTTCTGTTGTTGATGTTGTTTCTGGCCATGCTGGGGATGGCTAGGCCAGCGCCCTGCATTCCAGTCATGCCCTGCCTGCAGCCCAAGAACACGCTTTTCAACTTCTGGCAAGAGGTGAGGAGACCATATGCCTGAACCAGTCACTGAACCACTCAAGTGCTGACCCGGCCTTGGTGGACCTGGCTATGCCCTGGACCCTGGTCCATCCTGTTCCAACACCTGTGCTATTAGTAACTTGCATCGCTATCTTCTGTTCCATTAAGCCGGTGAGGCTCCTGGGGTCAGCTCGTGATGACATGGGCACACACCCTTCCCTACCATGTGTTTTTTTTTTTTTTTTGTCAGTCATGGGGCTTGAACTCTGGGCCTGGGCGCTGTCCCTCAGCTCTTCAGCTCAAGGCGAGCGCTCTACCCCTTGAGCCACAGCGCCACTTCCAGTTTTCTGAGTGGTTTATGGGAGAGAAGAGTCTCACGGACTTTCTTGCCTGGGCTGGCTTTGAACTGGGATCCTCAGATCTCGGCCTCCTGAGTAGCTAGGATGCCAGGCATGGTGGGCATGTGTAGTTTTTAAGGACCATGTAAGTAAAACTTTAAAGCAGGTTGCTCTGGCAGATGAGTGAGTGGGAACAGTGAAGTCCACAGGCAGAGCGCTGGCTCAGGGGAGATGCAGGGGGGCGGGGTCCATCCGCCCTTCACTGAAGGCAACACCACACAGTGTCCACACAGTGGGCTCCAGGCCCAACTGCGAAGGCTGGCGTTGAAGCTGCGCTAGCCACGCCGCCCCGGGAAGAACACTGCGAGGGAGGGTGCGGTAATGCACCTACGCCGTCCCGTCCAGGAGAGGCGTCCCACAGACACCCATCTATACCTACCCACTCCCTGCCACTCCTGCAGAACTGTGTCCCGGAGTCAGACCGGAGGGAAAAGCTGACCAGTGAGTTAATTGAAAGAATCTACTCGAGAGCCTCGTAGGGGCCGGGTACAAGTCACGTAGGAAAGCGGGTGGGGCCTCTCTTGTCCAACCCTACCAACTGCGCTCACCAGGCGCGTAACAGGCCAGGCCCGACAGAGACACGCCGAGTCAGCTTGCGCAAAGATTTCATCTTTATTCTTCAAGAAAGTGGTCAGTGCAGACCCATGGAGCTAGCTTTTAAAGAGAAATTTCCTTTTCTTTCGAAAGTAAATGAAAAAAAATTTCCTTGAATTGTTTATATATTAATTTGTTTAATTTCTGAAAACAAGTCATGGGGGTCTGCTTTGTTCTAATGAATTACAAATGTCAGGTTTACAGACAGAAACAGACAACAGAGAGTGTAGACTTAAATATCTCTAAAGAATAAAGCTCCTTTAAAGTCCCCTTTTCTCTGAAGATGATCAAGAAGCCCGGATGAAAGATGTGAACTACAAACCATTTCTTTAATAGAAAAAAAAAAAAAGAATGTTCATAGATTATTAGCAAAGTAATACCTCAAAACTTACCCTCACCAGGTTGAAACTGTAGTATAAACTTGCATACCAACTCACTGTCCATCCTTTCCTCTACTTTAAAAATCTATATAACTACGGTATTCCAACATGTATTTCCCAGTCATCATGTCCGACCATACATACTTGGGAAACTCACTTCTGCAGCTCCGTATGGAAGGATTACAGAAGCAGAGGCTGTTCCGGATGACACAGCGGGGGAGGACGGAGCACTGCTTCACGTGTGCACACGGCCCTCTTCCACTCGGGGTGGACATGGGTGAGAAGCAGGTGTCCACCTGCGGCCAAGGCCCATGTCTTGATACCCTCACCAAAAGTTACTTATGGACAGAGCCTCGCATCATGAAGCTTTTAGAGGCACCGTTAGAGGAGTGCGCTGTCTCTACCAAACACAGTAAGATCCGCACCTGGCTCTTTAATGACACAAGCATCTCAGCACGTCGGTGTCCGTAGGCAACCAGAAAAGAACCTTTTACATATGCCATGGGCTCGATCCTGTGGAGGCCAGGCCTTTCAGCTTCCCGATCGGTCTCACAGAAAGCCGCAGGACAACATCAGTCCAGGGCCCAACAGATAAAACCTGCCGCATCTTAACCGGCTCTTCGTAACCCATTAACAAAGAGTGTGTAAGGACTAGCTCTTTCAAAGTGCTGAAAACAGATTCGCCCTCGTACACTGCGACAAGCATGACACTTTCAATTCATTCTGCTCCAATGTGCAAACGTGTGAGTGTGTGTGTGTGTGTGTGTGTGTGTAAGACAGCTTAGAACTGAGAGTCAACTTCTTCTAGTCAGTAGCGTTCAGTGACTAGAATTGCCATTCAGAGTCCTAGGAATCAAATGCCCCAGTCTCTCCACATGATACCAATTTTCCGCCATCTCATATTCTATCCTGGAGTATCCAGAACAACATTTTGGTTCACTCAAGTCAATCTGTATCAGCTTTAAGACACAAACAGTCCAAACCCGACAGGGTATGGACTATGAATTATTTAATACTCATTCAGTGAAGTACAATGCAGATTATCAAATAGGTAACACACAAAGCATTCTAACTTTTGAAATAAATCGCTTTAGGCTAACCAGAGACTCTAGAAACAAAACGAGCGAACACAGAAAACACACCTCTCAAGCTTCTCAGTGCTTCACACCCACACGGCAGTGTGGCACTTACACTACTAATGTCACAACCGCCAACTCAAATGCATGACCTGAAGCACAAAAAGCCAGAGCCAGCCTACACGTGGTAAGATGACATGCCACCCGCCGTCTCTTTGTGAAATCACGGGAGACACCATGAGTGTAGTCAACCCAGAGAAACTTGCTCACTGTACTTGTTAGCACAGTCTGAGAATCAAGTCTATATAAACTCTACTAAGCTATTTTCTGTGGGGTCAGAATGCTTTTATAAAACAGAACAAAAAAGCCCAAACACAGTGCTAGTTACAAATTTTAGAATAAACCCAAACAACAAAAAATTGGGCATTACTGAGAAATAATTACTGAGAAATAAATTATAACATGATATATCAATTAATATTGTATCAATATTAACTAACATTTCTACGGTAAGATTTGTCCCTCATAAAAATAAGCAGTGCAGAACAGGGCTTGGGCTAGTTAGATCACATTTGGTTTTCTTAAAAACACAACTTTATTCACTATAAACAATTAAAAGGCAGCTCTCTTCCTCCATAACATGTAGACGTTAAACCTAAGGTTTTAAAAATATCAACTACCTATAAGAAAAGTATTTTTAAATGATTAAAAGGAATCAGAATACCAAAGTTTAGTGTGTGAAGAGTAGATACAAACAACCGAGAAAAAAGTAGATCACTGGTGTTGAATATTGATCACGAACAGCCCACGTAAGTCCCAGAGGGTTTCCACCGTTAGGAGGTAAAAAGGCATCCTCCGCAGTTTGGGGACGCGCCCTCGGCTCTCTCTGGGGAGAGTGAAGGGTTGAGAAGCTGCCAGCGGCGGTCCTTCGGTCCGGAGATCAGAGGACGGCCTGTCACCACGGCAACCGGGCCTCGCCTCTCCCACCGGAGCTAGGATCCGACGCGGGTCGTGGTGGTTCTTTTATCGGAGAAAAAGCTTTTCAGTAGGAACACCTGCCCGATGCTGACCACCAGAAGGATGAGGGCCTCTCCCACGGACCAGTAGGCCACTCTGGTGTTCAGATCCTCGGCTCGGCTCCGGCCCTGGGCCTCCCTCAGTCGGAAGTGAGTCTGGTAGTCGATGACAGACTTCAGAGCTTCGTGAATGGAGACACAGGCGGATTCCATCTAAACAGGGACACCGCAGTCAGCGTGCTTAGTGCTTCCGCGCGCGCTCAGCCAGCAGGCTCACCCTCGCCTCTGGTCCCAAGCCCCGGCTGACCTGTCCACCAGCACTCACACGAGCCCTCGTTCAGACCCGCTGTCCAGCAGCCAGGAACTCACTAAGCAAGCTTCCTTCCCACACAGCGAAATCCACTAAGGAGCAGATGCAGGGTACTTACTAACAGAGAGTGCAGCTGACCGGAGTCCACACGCATGCGTGCGTGCACGCACACACACACATTATACACATGTACACACACACACACACACGTGGAAAAACAGAACCCCTTTGGACAATTAATACATGCTAACACAAAAAGAGAAGGAATAAAAATATAAAAAAGGACGTAAACGATAGCCTTAAGGACGTGTGCTCACCCGAAGCACTGAAGAGAACATTTCCTAAAACAAGAGGAGCTACACGCACCCTGCTTACGCCTTCGCCTCAACTCAAGCACCTGAGTGAAGGCTGCTGCACAGTCATAACGCCTGGACGTGGGCAGGAGACCGCAGGGACCCGGAAGCACCGGAAGACCAGGGGAGGCTGTGCCCGCAAGGTGACCAATGACTGCCTTCCCCCGCGGCTGGGCAGCTTTCAGATATGACCTCAAGTATTCTGAGTGTTAAGAACTGTATTTGAGGGGCTGGGAAGGTGGCTCAGTGGTAGAGCGCTTGCCTTGCATGCCTGAGGCCCTGGGTTCGATTCCTCAGCACCACATAAGCAAAAAGAAAAAAAGCCAGAAGTGGCGCTGTGGCTCATGTGGTAGAGCGCTGGCCTTGAGCACAGAGCTGAGGGACAGCACCCAGGCCCAGAGTTCGGGCCCCATGACTGGCAAAAAAAAAAAAGAACTGTATTTGAACTGGAAATAAAGCAGTACCTGCTCAGTGGCTTTAAAGTTCTTTCTCTTCTTAACCTTTCCTCAAAACCAAACCCAATTTCCCTTCCACACCTCTCTTCCTCGGATGACTCACTACTACTCTTCAGCAGGTCACCTGGGGTGAGGGCCAGGCAGACGCAGTGGAATCAGACAGCAGTGCCCAAGCACGTGGCAGGCCGGGCGGCTGGGCCCCCGTGACACCTGCTCCTAACATCCGATGCAAGCTAGCAGCCGCAGACGCCCTGCACAGCACGCCGACTCTCAGCCTTCCTAAGCTTCCCCGATACACCACCACCGTTTCTACTGAGTGAGAGCTGTGTCCCCCAGAAGCCCCCATGCCAAAGACTTGACAGCTAGCACCACACACTAGAGAGGGGCTGGAGCCTGGAGGGGCGGAGTCTAGGGGAAGGGGGTGAAAGGTCACTGGGAGCTGAAGCAAACCTTTCCTGGTCACCTCAGGTATTTGTCTCAGCAGTGGAAGGCTGATGGACTGTGAGCTCTGACCTCTACACCCCTTCACTCTCACAGAGCCTATTATGCTTTTGTATATCAAACTGTTGGTCAGTTGTGGGGCTTGAACTCTGGGCCTGGGCGCTGTCCCTCAGCTCTTCAGCTCAAGGCTAGCACTCTACCACTTGAGCCCCAGCGCCACTTCCGGTTTTCTGGTGGTTTACTGGAGATAAGAGTCTCAAAGATTTTCCTGCCCGGGCTGGCTTTGAACCACGATCCTCAGATCTCAGCCTCCTGAGTAGCTGGGATGACAGGCGTGAGCCACCGGCGCCTAGCTCTTTTTTTTTTTTTTTTAACTAGTTTATTTACCTGGGTAAGAGCACTGGCCTGGTTTTCATTGGGAAATAAAGGTGGGTCTTCTCCGACTTGAAAGTCAAAATACACGGTTTTATGTGTGAAAGTAGAAAATTCATTGCTGAAGCAGAATTTGTAGGTCCCATTTCTGGAGGCTGTGAAGGTAAAGCTATCATACTGCTTCTTCATCTCTTTGTACAGCACCTTGCCGTCCGGGTCCTCTAGTCGGCAGTCTACATCGTAGTGTCCACCAGTGATCACCTGAGAGAGATTGGGGGAGGGAGAAGGAAGGAGAGAGGGGGAGAGAGAGAGAGAGAGAGAGGAGATCATTGCATCCAACATGTTTGAGAAAGCAACCAAAGTTAACACGGCAATAAGGTCTGGACCAGGGCCTTTACCTATCACACTCACTTTGACATTTTCTGATTTTCGGATTTCTGTTTTACTTAAAACGTTATAAAACCTGAACATCTTTCTCATGACAGGAGACAGAGAACATTCAATCACTTCAAAATAGCCAATGTGCAAGTTAATTCAGGTCCACTCCATCACTTAGCTCAGAAAGTTAACATAATATTGACTCAGTATACGTGTGTGTGTGTGTGTGTGTGTGTGTGTGTATCAGTAGAACACTTTGAACTTTGGACTTCAAAGGAAGAGCTGTTACTTCTATGACCCTTTGTTACTTTGAGGGAGTTGACTCAACTATGTTACAAGGTCACTTCAATCATTAAGTGAAATACAATTATAGGCTTGGAAAACTGTACGATAGTGGAAGTATTAATGAGTCCATAGAAAATGCTGGCATTCCTGGGGCTTGGCCCCTGCCTCACCAAGTGCTCTACCACTGCGCTGCGTCCCTACCGTGCCTGTTCTGTTTCTTGAGGCAGGAGCTTGCTGAGTTGCCCAGGCTGGTCTGAAAGTCATGGTTCTCCCGCCCTGGCCTTCAGAGCAGCTGGTATTATTACAGGCATTGGTTAGCAGACTGGGCCAGATAAAAACAAACAAACAAACAAAAGGCTCAAGTGGTAGAGTACCAGCTTTGAGCACAAAAGCTCAGGGACAGCACCCAGGCCCAGAGTTCAGGCCCCATAAGCAGCACACAAAAAGGACAAACACAGGGCTGGGAAGGTGGCTCAGTGGTAGAGCGCTTGCCTTGCATGCCTGAGGCCCTGGGTTCGATTCCTCAGCATCATATAAGCAGAAAAAAAAGCCAGAAGTGGCACTGTGGCTCAAGTGGTAGAGCGCTAGCCTTGAGCGGAAGAGCTGAGGGACAGTGCCCAGGCCCAGAGTTCAGGCTCCATGTCAGGACCCCCCCCCCCAAAAAAAAGAAAAGACAAACAGACAAAAACAAAAAGCAAGCATCTGAATCTTACCAACTTAAAAAGTCAACTCAAAAAGTCAATAACCTTTTCTCCAGGAGCAACAATTACTCTTTATTTCTATATACTCAGTCACTTATACTTGACCACTGTGCTCTGAATAATCAAATAAACACACACTAAACTTTATCCCGGATCAGCACCCCTCTTACTGCTAACAAGCAATCGTGTCTTAGTCCTCAGCACCTTTTAGCCCTGTCTGGTCACTGGAAATCGAGTTCCTCCCAATCTGCTCTTCCTTACCTCTCCAAATGATTGTAGCAAATGTTGTCTTTCTGACCCTCAGATTCATCCCCTTCCTCCCACTTCTAACCCACAATGCACTGCTGTCAGCCTCCTGAGGGGGCTGCTCACCGTGCGTCTCCCCTCTGACTCGGGGCTCCCCAACTCCACCCCACTCCCACCAGAGGCTAAATAATCCACCGTATCAGAGGCTTCCTCATCTGAAGCAGCACCGTGAGCAGCACCCCGGCACCCCTCGGGGCGTGAGGGGGTGGGGGGAAGACCCTCAAGGAGGCAGGGTACCAAACACCAGTGGACGCCTGAAAACGCTGACAAGCTGGTACAACAAGCCACCCTAGAGCCGAAGACCCGGCCACACGGCAAGGCCACTGCGACTCAGTGAACCTCAGCCACACAGTCTCACAGCCAGGCGAAGGCACATCTCAGACTCGCTCTGCTCGAACTCACAGCCAGGGGAAGGCACGTCTCAGACTCGCTCTGCTCGAACTCACAGTCTGCCTCGGGCGCTGTTCCGCTCTGGGCTGCCGTACTGTAACGTGAACCCCATGTTGTCTTCTAGACTCAACTCAACCGTGAGCGCCCCTCTAGCGTTCCCTGGCGGCCCCTCCATCCTCGCCAGCCAGCTCCCTGTGGTGCACTTGCAGTGCCGCGCTCACCTCCCGTGACTGGAGGTCTGGGAAAGCTCCCTCGGTGAGCTTTCCTGCTTTAGGGAGGGGAGGCAGTAACCAGTTCAAGGAGGACTCCACACCGAACCTGCTACTGTTCAGTGTGGTGGCCTTGGGGCTAAGTCCGTGTCACCAGTACAAAAGGAATAGACTCTACTTTACATCAAGTCTTCCCGAGAGCACTCGAAACGCTTGGTGGAGGGGCTGCACAAAGCCTCCCATGTAAGAACTAAATGCAAACACAAATGCTGATTTGTGTGTCACATGGAAAGGTCTGTGATTTCCTTGTGTGTGGATGTGCCTTGGTCCGAACCGTGAATTGAAGCAACCCTAAGGGTTGGGGTCTCATGGGCTCCCCCCCACCAGCCAGTAATAACCCAATCATTACCAAATCCTGCTGCCTTTACCTAGCATGCGCTCCAGTCCTTCCTCTTGTCCCCTTCCCTATCGACGCCTTCCTACTGTAAACCGCTACTACTCCTGCCTGGACACCAAAATAGTCTTCAACCATCTGTCTTCCACATGCACTCAGAGCACCCTGTCTATCCTCTCTACCTGTACAAATTACTTGCGCAGCAACCCAGAATATTCCCCTGTGCACACCCACCACGGGCTCCTCCCTGGCTCCCTTACCAGTGTGCTTACAGTTCATCCTTTCAAGTTCAGTTTAAAAGGAACCCATGGCTCATGCTGGGAATCCTAGCAGCTCAACAGGGTGAGACCTGAGGATTGTGGTTCAAAGCCAGCCTGGACACAAAAGTCTATTATATTAGACTCTTTATCTCCAATTAGCCAGCAAAAAAAAAAAAAAAAAGCCAGAAATGGGGCTGTGGTTTAAGTGGCTGAGCACTAGCCTTGAGCAAAGAAAAGCTCAGGGACGGAGCCCAGGCCCTGAGTTCAAGCCCCAGGTCCAACACACACACAGACACTAACCAAGATGTAAAGGAATCGCTGGTGGATCCTTAAATGAGACGCACACCCTCTCCTCACTGACCAGAGCAGCCTGTGAGTGGGCACTACTCAGTGCACCAGCACGGGCGGGCGGGGCGGGCCAGCAGGTGGCTCAGCACCCCGTCACCAGCACCCAGGGGCACCCGCCACAGCGGTCTGACCGCTGACTGCACCCGCCAGGAGACCGCGCCCAGACGGCTCGCATTCTGATGAATAACTGTCTTTTTTACACAATCCCCGAAGGGCTTCCTTATGGGCCAGGACGCTGGCTGGGGGAGAGCCGGGGACGGCCTGGGGCGCTTCTGCTCCCATTGCGGCGGGGCTCGGTGGGCGGCACGGGGCGGGTCCGCAGCTCCGGGCACCGCTGACCAGGAGCTACGGCGGCGCAATGAGAAAAGACGAACGCGGGTGCGGGTGCGGGTGCGGGTGCGGGCTGGGACCTGGAGGGGGGCGATCCGGGCCTAGCTCCCTGGAAAAGACCTGGCTCCGTTCAACTTAGCAGGCTTCCCCGGGTGGAGCACGCGTCTGGGTGGAAAGCCAAGCCCGTCGGCGTGGGTGGGCTGCCTGGAGGAGGCGCTCGGGTGGGCCTGGACGACCCGGGCCACCAGGATCCGCCCCGGCCCCGCCCCGGGCCACAGACCCCGCCCCATCCAGGAATCCCAGGCCCCGCCCCGCAAGCCCCACCCCATCCAGGAATCCCAGGCCCCGCCCC